ATCCCTACTGGAATCTATATGCAGGTCTAGGGTTCTCACTGAAGCAGTTCTGGGGACTCTTGACTTTCATGATGAGTTTAAGCTTCCTTTTCCTTTCATACTGTCAAATTGCTTACCTCTTCCTTCCCTGTGAGTGTCTGATTTTATTTATTTATTTGTCTTTCTATAAGTCTGCGTCAGCATTTGAGTTTTTCATTTCAGTGTCTGAATCTATAGAAGTAAAATACGCTTTTAACATCACTGTTGCATGACAGCATTGCAGCATTTTTGCTGAGTTAGACATCCACTCATTCAAGTCTGAGTTCTCCTGTGGTCAAGAGACAGGAGAAAAACTTTCATGAAGTGATAATCAGAAGATTTTACTATGTTATAGTACACATTTTTTCATGTTCTCCGATAATATGCTCAATGTGTCACATGCAGCAACATGCACTACTACTTTGAGCTAAATGGGAGCCATGCCCTGGTGCTTTTTTGTTTGTTTATATTGTGATTTTTCTCAAAAATCTGAAACACTGGCAATAGGGAAGGGTATTAAAGAGGGAATTTTCCAGTGGGAATTGCAGATGTTTTCTGATCCCCTTGTGTTACCACAGTGATGATTGGCCATTTTGATGTTTAGAGAAGCAGACCAAGTGTCAGCAGGTATTAAAATTCTCAGATTTACATAGGGTGCTATGAAAGTAATGCCTCCTATTTGTTTCTATGGAAACGACAACAAATACAAAGAGCTCAATAACACTGTTTGATAGAGCAAATTCTCAACTATGAAACAGAATTTTTTCCCAAATGATCACCACCACGAGCTATGCATTTTCACTGTGATGATCAAGAGCCTGCATGCCATGCTTGTGAAAATCTGCGCCAGTGGAGGTGACCCACTGTCACCACTGCTGAAACACAGCACCCACCACCCTCACTGTGCTCACATCCGCTGTTTGGTTTCCATTAACGTTCAACAAGTGTTAGTAAATGTCAGTAGGTGCCACTGTTTCTGCATGAAGGAACGTGCATCAACACTCCTTTGCTTCATACGTACTTCCATGTCAGATACCATTCTGTCAGACTGCCCCTCTGCTGCCATCTGTCACACAGCGACTACATGTAACAGAATGCTGGAGAAGAAGGTTCAGCCTCTACTGCCATACCAACAACCATGTCAGACATCATGAGCCAACATGAGACAAAATAGGAGACATTGCTTTTAAAGCAGCCTTTGTATCATTGCATTTTGTAAATAAGTATCTTATGATCTCCCAGAGGATTGCTCTCGAAGCTATTCTTACTGCTGTTACTGCTTTGCTCTAGGTGATAGTGAGGGAGATAACATGTTTGGGGGCTTTTATGAAGGTTTTTTTGGTAGTAATGTCTTTTAATCTTTGTTTTAAACATGTTTATTGCATCTAGGAGTGTATTTGACATATATTTATGAATTAGTCTGTAATCCTATCTTTATTTAAAATCATATGTATAATCTTTTAAATAAATAATGATATATTCAGATGGGTCATGAAAAAGTATTCCTTGTTAACTTTATTGTTTTTTATTGGAATATTTATTTTTAATAGACGAAATCTGCCTGGGGACAGACAGAAAGCTCTAGAAATCATGATTCCTTTAGTAGAACAAGAAGATCAAGTAGCTTCAGATATGTACTGCCTGGTTGGTCGCATTTACAAGGACATGTTTTTGGAATCTGGGTTCATAGATACAGAAAGCAGAGACAAAGGGACCTTCTGGTGAGTAATGTTTTCCTGGTCTATGTCTTTTTCTTAGCTTTAGAAAGCGTTCCTTAAATGAGAACATACTTCAACTGTTTTTCATTCCAAATATTTTGTGTTCTTAATGGTTATGCAATGTCTTCTAATCTGGGCCTTCCTTACTTGTTAAGAATGACAGATTCATGGTGTCCGTACATCTGTTTCCATAAAGTTCTTCAAGTGCCTCAGAGCCTTGGAAGTTGAGGTAGCTTTCATCACAGCTTATCTTTCTCCTCTCTCTCAAATGTGAATTCTCTTGTTTCCTGCATTTCTTTTAAGAATCTGGGCCAGGCGTTATTCAGGCTTGAATCAATAGGCATACCTGCATCTGGTAGGTATTTACCAGCTATGCTTAATGGTGCTGAAGTATAACTGTTCCGATGCTTGGAAAGTACCATATTTGTCTTTCTTGGCTTCCTTGCTGACAAGGAATGTAAACTCATGCTGGGAAAAGGTTTATCACCCCGTCATCACCATATAACTTATACATATTACAGCGGACTGCAGTACAAATTCTTATGGTACTTGCCTCTAAAATTATCATGCTTTTTCTTCAGGAATGTGCTAAAGTGCCAATTTGTATGTGGAATAGAATAAGAAAAAAAATGTTTTCTGTCTCTTGTCTGTCAGGCCTTCAATTTCCAAAGGAAACATACTTGAAATGCCAACATTAGGTACTTTTGTCAGGGTGAGCTGCTTTTTTCCATTACAGTTCAGTAAGAGAATATAGATAAATATTTGTTGTGCATTATCCTCCATATTGTATCCTTGTTCTGCTCTTGAGCTCATCAGCTACATGTTGAAGTAAATGCTTGATTCTCCTTCTCTTGTTTCACTTTTTTCAGTAGCCTTCAGATTAGAGTTGTCTTTGAAATATATAATTATTCACCATCTATAGTCTTAGAATACACGAACAATTTCTAATTCTTGGTTATGCTTTACAGTTTTGCAGTGCTTACTGGCCTCTTAAAATATGTTGAAATAGCAGGAATACAGCATGTTATTCCCCCCCCCCCCCTTCCCATTTCATAATTTTGAATTAAAGAATTTCTCTAAGCCAAAGCTCCTGTGAAATGTTCAAAATTATTGTAGAATAATGTTTTGTTTAATGCTAGCTGATACAAAAACTAAACTGTAGTCTTTATACAGTACTAGGCATCAACATGGACAAAACAAATTAAATAAACTTATGTCTGTGATTGTACATCTTGCTTATTCCTCATTTGTACTGCTTTAAAAACAGATAAACTTTGAGATTTTCAAACATAATTAGGTGAGTTTATATGTTTAGTAGGCGTAATAACTTACTAGGATGTTTCACACAGCTGTTTTAACATGCTTTTAATAAGTGCATCTATCAGTCATATTGCTCATCTACTCGATGAGGTGCAATGATTGCAGTCATAACAGCTTGGGGAAGGAGAACAAATGCAGCTCTTGCCGTGGGCAGGACACTGACAGGCCAGTCCCTAAATAATCCTTGAAGACTCTGCCCAGTTAGGCCAGACTAAGACAATCTGGAATTTGACTGGAACCTGTTCCGGGGAGTCGGTTGCTTTTAGTTTGTACTTTATGTTGGATATTGATTTGAATTCTAGTGTCAGTCGTATGGCAGGCTTGATATGACTGAAGGATTGAGCCATAACCTAATTGGAGGCCCTTGGCTGGGAGCAAAGCTGCTACCAGTGCTGCACCCTGGCCTCAGCAGGGGTTGAAGAAGGTGTGTGTAGGAACAATGCCTCCACAATAGCAGTAGTTTATGTTGAGATAAAGGTTATTATCTCTGTCTCAGAGAAAAGAGGTTGCAGGAGAAATGTAGTGAATTGCATAAGATAACAATTTGGCAGCAGAACTGAAGTGTTAGTTTTGCAACAGCTAATGATGTCAGGGTACTTTGGGCTATTAAAAAAAAAAAAAAAAGCAGGAAGTGTGATTTTTCTGACAACTGAAAAGTGGAATAAAAGGCATCTGTGATGAAAATATGAGACAAGAAATGAAAGTCTAATTGATAACTGTCACTTTCTTGTTGCGTACTGACAATGTAAACCAGATTCACCACTGCTATCAAGTCTTCTTTCAAATCCTTTTACTGCTACCTATCTTATTCAGTATCTGTATTGCAACATTTTCCCAAACGTCCGCTTTCAATTTCTGGACGGCCTTTATAATGGAGTCATCTAAGCCAACCTCTAACTTTATAGGAAGACTTTTAAACCTGACTGCAACGCTGATTCCTTCTGTCTCATGTAGGGCTTGACTTTGCATGCCAATTGCACCTGTTGAATTTAAACCAGTTCAATTAGCAGATATTAATTGAAACTGGTTATTTTCGTTTGTTTTAAGTTAATAATTACAAGTTTTTCATTTTTATTTTGTCTGTAAATTTCTTGTTGGTTCCTATTGCTTTTTTTTGTGCATGTTGCAAAAATTATGTCAAGGAGGATGCTACTTGTCAATTGAAGCTTAAAGAAGCCAAGGACTGAGTGTAATGAAAGAAATAAGCTCTCTGATCCTATGAAATAATTTCTCAGTTCCCTGGGGTTAGGGAATGTAGCCTTTTTTTGTTGCTTACTTGTGATGCTTTGTTTTCAAATCAATGCGTTGTTTTTTGAGGGCTGTTCACCAGTTGCTTCTGCAAGCAGTAACTGTATTTTATGCTTAAGTTCATCTCTGCCTCCTTTGCCTGTATGCTTAACACCATCGACAGCATGTGTGTTCCCACCTTTTGATGCACACTGGAGAGGTTTATTTTATTTGTAAAATTCTGAAGTTCTGTATTTGTCACTGAACTAGAGAAATTTAGGTACTCGTGCCAGAAGTGAGGCATTTGTATCACTTGCTTCTGTGTTTATGTATTTTGATATGCTTATATGTCACTGGAGCAGATCCATGATCTAAAGTCTCAAGTTAATGAAAATCTATATGTTTAAGAGGAAATTAAAGAGTCCATTAATAAATATAACTGTGAAACAGGTCTCTTAAAAGCTGATAATGCTATTTTCTTTTATCTCAATGGAAAAACTGTAAATCCAATAAGATACTAACTATTCTGGAGTGGATAACCAGGTCTGTACTTGTGTGAAGGAAAAGGAAATGGAAAGAGGATGCATATATAAGTAACTAACCCTTAAGTAAGTAACTCACTCCTAAAAATAGCCAAAAAGCATGTGCGGAAAACAATATTTTTGTTTCCATGGATTCTTGCTATGTAAACAGAAGATAAACACCTACAGAACCTAGAAGTATAATTATATCCCCACTAGATTGCATTATTTAGAAAGCAAACTTGTATGTTTGTTTTCTCTAGGTTCAAGAAGGCGTTTGAGTCAGAGCCAACGCTGCAGTCGGGAATCAATTATGCAGTGCTTCTTCTGGCAGCTGGACATTGCTTTGATACTTCTTTTGAGCTTCGGAAAGTTGGTAATTACAGCTTGCAAATTCTCAGTGAACTTGCTTTCTAGTGAAAGTACGACACCATTCATTGTTACAAGGGGGAAATAAAAATCTGATGGTTACATATAACTGCTTCGATAGTAAGTGTGTGAACATCTCAGTTAATGTCCCCAGCCACCGCCGATCCCACCTGGCTGAGAGTGAGCACTGTTGTGATGTTCTGATTTCAGGATGAAGGTCTTAATGGGTTACCAGAGCTTAGTGAAAACTGGCAGCCCTTCTTTGCAGTGATGTCTTTTTTGTGAATCAGAAGGAAGGAACGCCTGAAGGGGGAGTCCAGATCTGGCTAGCATTCTTGAAAAAAATAAAAATCAAGCAAACAAACAGAAAATACCTATGAATCGCTAGGAAATATGGGCAAAAAAAAAAAAAAAAAATACAAGCACCTTCTCCTTAGGGTGGTCAGAATGCACTTAGCTTGAGATTGGGATGGGTTAAGAGAAGAATGAGCCACGCTTCAGATGCTGTTTTTGAGGTTTTTTAAAGCTTTGTATTAAGTGGTCCACTCTGTGATTTGATTTGTGGTTTTGCTGTATTTGAAGAGAAGGCAAAGTCAAAATTAGCCAGGAATCCTTTCAGGGAAGCCACAAAAGGGAGATAAAGGGAGATGACTGAATGTTGTAATAGTTGCTAACGTATACTTTGTAACTGGCATTTTTCTCCACAGGTTTGTGTAATTCTTGACTTACTGCAAATCCTTTTTTTTTTTTTTTCTCCCCCTTTTGGTCCTGAGGAGAAAGAAGCATTGTTCTTTACTCCAAAGAATATCTTTAATGAGCCTCTGCACTAGTTTAGAAGTAAGGTGTGTGGAGTATCTCTGAAAATAATTT